ACCCCCATGGGGTCCTCCGCGGTTGAGGCCCTCCCCCGTGAGATTTTTTTGTTTGTATGATTACAACAAGTTTTTTGTTGCTGGATGTCCTAGCGATCGAACGCCATCGATCATCAGTTTACTCGTCATGCATGTTCATCCTATTCTTTATATCCCACTGTGGTCTCTCATCGTATTCCTCCCTCCACATTCCTCCCTTCCTCCCCCTCCTCGCCCTCTTCCTGGTCATAGTCGACTTCGTTTTCATCAGAGGCAGCGCTGCGGAGTCGCGAACGTTGAACAGGGAAACAAGAAAGACAGGAAAAACATGTTTTTTTTTAATTTTTTAATAATAAAAAAAATGTTGCTTCTCCGAGGGAAAATGAGAAAAAAGCTAGGACGATCTGTGACCGTCGGTATTTCTATGGTGCAGACGATCCATTATTATAGTTCAAGTTTTTAGTAGCAGCCTTCACAAAAGGATTCCTTTTTTACGGCGATCTCACATAGGGAAATCAATGATTGGGGATCTGCAGTGTCCACCATCAGTGAATTCTGTTCACAGCAGCCTGTACAGCAGGGGTTCCTTTGTGTGGTGGCCTTACACAAGGATTGTCAACGTGGGGGGGTGTAATGGCGGCACCTTGAGCTCAGGAAAGCTGGAGACCAGGACAGGAAATACAAGAATCATTCCCTTTTAATTCTTATATATATATAGGAAGGAAAACCCCCCCAAAAAAAAAACAAAAAAAAGACTGTCGGTATCTTGTTGGTGCAGACGCTCTGCTACTTAAATCATCGTGTACCAGCCTTTACAAAAGGACTCTTCCTGTGGCGACACTACACAAGGATTTTAGTCGTAGGGGATCTGCAGTGGCCTCCACAATTAGAATCCTCGCAAAGGAGCCTGTACAACAGGGATTCCTTTTTGTGGCGGCCGTACAAAACAATTTTCAGTGCGGGGGGATCTGCAGTGGCGGCAACTTGAGCCCAGGAAAACTAGAAAGGACAACAGGAAAAACATGAAATACATTAACAAGCGTATGCTTGCACATGGAAAATAAGAGAAGGTTCGGAAGACCTGCTGTTGTCGGCACTGTTATGGTACAAACGCTCCACACTTCAAATCCTTTGTAGCAGCCTTTACAAAAAGATTCCTTGCGTGGCAACCTGACAAAGGATTTTAGCTGTGGGTGATCTGCATCGGCCTCCGCAGTTAGAACCCTCAAATAGCAGCCTGTACAACAGGGTTTCCTTTTTTTGTGGCGGTCTTACAAAAGGATTCTCAATGCGGGGGGATATGCAGCGGCGGCACCTTGAGCCCAGCAAAACCAAATAGGAAAACAAGAAGAACAGGAAACTGCCTGTGCTGTCACATGGCAAAGGTTGGGGAGCGATTTGTTTTGAAAAAATGCCCCCCCAAAAAAGACGCAAACGCTCCACGATTAAAATCATAGTGTAGCAACCTTTTGCATAGCAGCCTGTACAAAAGGTGTTTGATTTTGTGACGGCCTTACAAAACGGTTCATAAGTGCACGGGGGTTGGCGGTGGCGGCACCTTGAGCCCAAGAAAGCTAGGAAGAAAAAATACACATACAAAAGCTTGCGCTACAACATGGAAAATGGGAAACAGCTAGAAAGATCCGTGAATGTCCTGCAACATAAATGATACCTGCAGTAACGTGAATGTTCTACACCATAAAATACATGAAATCACAAGTATGCATGGGTTAATCCTATTGTGTCATGAAGATACGAAAGGTTGTTTCATGTTTGCCCCGTTTCCCCTGTTGCCCCGTCTAATTCGTTCTCCTGGGCTCAAGGTGCCGCCACTGCAAACCCCACAACACGAAAACTCTGCTGCAAGGCCGCCACAAAAGGAATCACGTTTGCACAGGATGCTATGAAAAAGGATTCAAACTGCGCGGGCCACTGCAAATTCCCCACAACGAAAACCCTTATTTGTAAGGTTGCCACAAAAAAGGAATCCTGTGCACAAGCTGCGACAAAGGGATTAAGTGTGGCGCGCCCGCACCATAAAAACACGGAATGTCAAAGGTCAGCGTGGTTTCCTACATGTGTATATATATATGTATATATATACACATGTTTACGCAAAAATAAAAAGAAACAATGATCATGTTTTTGTTCCTGCTTTACTATCTCGCTTTCCTGGGTACGAAGTGCTGGCACTGTAGATCCCCCATACTTAAAATCCTTGGATATGACCGCAAACAAAAACAAATAATTCATTGTGCACAGGCTGCTACGAGAGGATTTTAAGAGTGGAGACCAGCGCAGACCCCCCAATGAAAATATTGTCGGATCGCCACAACAAGGAATCCCTGTGTAAAAGGCTGCGACAAAAGGATCTAAAGTGTGGAGCGTCTGCACCATAAGGATACCGACATTCTCAGGTCGTCTGAGCTTTGTCATATATTCCCAATGAAAACACAAGCTCGTTCATGTTTGTTCTGGATATCATGTTTTCCTGGCAACGCTCGGCGGCCCCAAGGCGCTGCCTTGGGGAATCCCGCGCAATCAACATCCAAGCGTAAATTGATTGTATTGTTTGTGGTTGCTGGGGTCTACATATTGAATTTGACTTTGAAGCTCTTCAAATCGATTTTCACTGGGTGAACTCACACTTCAAATTTCATTCATAAGATCCACCAAACCGAAAACATCAAGTTGCAATCGCACAAACGAAGGGCCCCACCCCTCTGCCCCCCCGCCGCAACCCGCGCCCCGGCGCGGAGCGCCCCCACCGCGGCGGGGCTCAATAGAGGGCGCGGGTTCGAGACCCCCCCGTAGACGCGAGGGGGGGCGGCCCGAGGTCCTCTCCCCAGCCCTCAGGTGGGCTTCCCAGGCCCGACCCCCACTCCCACCCAGGAGGCCCTCGCCCACCGAGGCGGCCGCGGGGCTCCCAGGAGGGGGAAGCAGGGTCGGGGGATGCAAGGGGGGAGGGGGGGAGGGGGGGGACAAGCGCGGGGAGGCTTGAGCCGCCCGCGCGACGGCACCGCGGCGCGCGGGCGCCGCCCCCCGAGCCGCTCGCGGGCCGCCGCCTCCTCGCCGGCGCCCCCCCGCCAGGGCGCTGCCGCAGCTGCGCCCGCCCCGCCCGCGCGACTTCGCGCGCGGCGCACAGGGCCGGGCTGCCCGCGGGGAGCGGCCGCCCTCTTCGGCGGCCGACTCGCGGCGACCTTCATTAGCCAGCACCGCCACGTCGGGCGCGCGCCCCATTGGGCCCGCGGCCACCAAGCGCATCCCGAGATACTCGTCGAAGTCCGTCTTCTCCAAATTGCCAGGTCGCCCGCCCCCCGCCCCCCTCGCGCCGTAGCCAGCCCAGGCTCGGCGCAATCCCGAGCGGGCCCTCCCCTGAGAACTCGGCGGCGAGGAAGACCGCCCACGCCCGCTCGTTCGGCTCGGACCTCGGCACTGCCCGGGCGCTCCCCAGGCAGTCCGCCGGCCCTGCCATCTCGAGCTCCGCCCGCGGGCTCGCGCCGGGGAGCTCGTCGACGGGCCAGGCCCCCCGCGCCGCCCGGGCCCCACTCGGGCCGTCTGCCCTGCCCGCTCCTGAAGGCGGCGGGCCCTTCTTCCACAGCTGCTCGCGCGCGCCGACGACGTCTTCGCCCGCCGCCGCCCGGCCAAATCCCCCGGCCGCTGGGCCCCAGGAGCGGCCCCCCAAAACAAGGACCATTGCCGCGGAGGTCGGGCGCTCCGAGCCCGCAGCCCCCTCGCCCTCGCGGTCGGCGCCACGTTCGACCGCCCCTCAGACCAGCGCCGCCCTCCACGCCGCCCTCGCCACTGACTGGGTCCACGGCGGAAGCGGCGCAGCCAACGTGGAGGCCGACCCCGCGCGCCCCGACGACGCCCCGCGCCTGCCCCGCGCACTGGGAAACCGACAGGCGCCGAGACAGGGCGACACCACAACAGATTAGGCGCATGGCCCGACGCCTCGCGCGCTCGGGCTAACTCGACTCAACCGCTCCCACGTCGCCGGCGCATTCGAACTGCCCCACGGGCCAGTCGAAGCCCCGCGGTCGGGAGATCACCCGCAATAGTCCCGGGCCTCCTGGTTCCCCCTTTCCTGCGGCGCTGCATCTGCCGCGGGGGTTCCGGCGTTGCAGCCGCGCGCCCCCGCGCGGGCGCGCCCGGCAGCAGGCCACGCGCGCCCTCGCGGGCGTCCAACAAACAGGGGAATCACTCCGCCCGGTCGCCAGACCCTTGCCCGCCCCACGTTCGCGACGACCTGCTGGGCACTAGGTCGAGCGGAGAGCCCGTCGCTCCGATCTGCGTCTGCACCGCGCTCTGCCCGCGCCATCGCGCGAAGAGCTTGGTCGGGCACCGTCGGCCCGCGCGCCTCGGCGGCCCCGCCACTCGCACAGAACGAAGTGCCCGACTGCCGCGGGCCGCGGGGCCCCGCGCGAGCGCGCCAAAACCACCTGCGCATCGCCCACAGGTCTGCGCGCGCGACCTCACGCGCCGACGCGCGCGCGGCCCGCGAGGCCGCCCTTCGCCCGCCTCGGGCCCACGCAGGACCGCGCCGCCCAGCGAGGGCGCCCATCTCCTCGGCGGCGCGGCCAGGCGAGGCTTCCACCCAGCCCGCCCCCCCAGCGCCCCTGGCCCACGGCGGCCCCCCTTTGCGGCCGCGCGGCGCTCCTAACAAAACGGGCCCCCGCCGCTGCTCGAGCCCCAACGGCGGCGGGGCCTCGGCCGCTCCTCGGCCGGTCGCTACTCCGAGGCACGCCGCGGCGCCCTCCCGCATGGCCCGCCGAGGGCAGCCATGGAACGCCCTCAGTCGCCCCACCACTGACCCCCCAGCTACTCCATGGCCCACAAGCTCCCCCAGCGGCCGCCGCGCCTCCCTCGCGCTGCGGCGCGCGGACGCCGCCGCCTTCCCCAGCGATCCCCCGAACTCGGTCTGGTGTGCCTGAAGCGCCCGACAGAAGCCCCATGGGAGCAGCCGTGGATCACCTTGCTGACCTCCGAAATCGCTTCCACCCCCGCTCTTCGTCTGCCGCCTGGCCCACGAGCCCCCAGAGGGGCGAGTTGGTCGCGCGGGGGCAGTCGGCCGCCACCGCCTGCTCGAGCGCGCACCGAACGCGGGCTAGCCTGCCAGTGGCGCCCGACGCGTGGAGGCGGCGGCAGCGGGCCCCATGTCTGACCCCCGCAGCCGCCTCAGCACCTGCCCTCGTCTACCGGCTGGCCGACGAGCCCCCTCGGCGTCACCTCTGTCGCGCCGCAGCCTCGGCCACCGCGACCTGCCGGAGGGCGCCCGATCGCGGGCCCGCCTGTCACAAGCGCCCGGCGCGGACTGAGGCGGCAGTGGCCGTGGAGCACCTCGCGGAGCTCCGCCGAGCGGCCGCGCTCTGCGGGGGGGTGGGCTTCTCCACTCGAACCTGCTGCGCACCCGCCCCCATCCGCACGGCAGTCTCCGAGCGGCCCAGGCGAGGCCTGCTGGCCCTTCCTGGGCGGCGAGTCGCGCGCCAAACCCACCGATGCCCAACCCCGCGCGCTCGCCTCGACGCCGGGGCGGGCGTAGAGGTCAAGAGGTTTTCTCTCCGCGGGGGGGGCCGCTGTCGGCTGGCAAGCCGTTCTCGCCAGTCGCCAGTGCTCGCCGGTGTCCTCGGCCCCCCGCCTGCCCGCCGTTCGGGAGGCGGCCTCCGGCCACGCTCGGAGGCGGGGCGGCGGGCACCCGAGCGCCCCCCTCCGCCCGAGCGGCCGCGGTCGGCGGCGGCGCGCGAAGGGGGGGCGGCCAGCCCCGCGCGGCCTGCCGCCCGGTTGCTGGGGGGCCATGGCCCCAACAGCACAGGCCCACTGGCCCCGCACAGCCGTCGGCGTCGCTGGCGCGCCATCCTCCCCAGGTCGGCCCCTCCGCGGGGCTCGCCCCCCAATCCCGCGGCCTCGCCCCGCTGGATACTGCGCCGCTGGGCCGCCGTCTCAGCTGGTCCTCGCGCGGCGCGCTGAGCTGCAGCGCCCCCCACACCTGCCCGCGCCCCTCTGGTGCGATTGGCCGCCCGAGCAGCTTCACGCAGGACTTCGCGGCATTAGCCCTTGTTCGAAGATGCCCTGGCGCGGCGTCGGCAGCGACGTCTGCGCGCGGCCTTACACATTCACGTTCAACTGCGCGGCATCGGCATTGACGTCTGCAGTCGGCCTCTGATCGAAGGTGCCCTGGCGCCTGCAGCGCCCCTCGCCGACCTGGTCCACGAAGTCCCTGGTCATTCGCAGCTCACGCTGCTCCATCCGGCCCCTGCCCGACGCGACTGGCGCCCGCCTGCGGGCGCCCCAAGCAGCACGTTCTCCTCGTGGGTGGGGGCGCCCCCCAGCACCGTCCGCATCGCCATGGCTGCCCTTCCCCCTCCGACTGCGGCGCCGTCGGTGGCCCCATGCCCAGGGGCGCGCGATCTCTGGCCGCGGCGGGCTGGGCGGCTGCCGCGGGGAATTGGCGGGGGAGGGCGATCGCGACGCCCGCCATGGCCCCCCTCTGCAGCCACGGCCGCGCCCCCGTCCGCATCGCCATAGGGCGCTGAGGTCGCCCTGATCCCGCCCTCGCCCGCCATTGGCTGCGCCCCTTCGCGCCCGCGCCTCGGGCAGCCCAGGCGACGGGGGCCCGCCCGTCAACGCCCGCGGTCGCTGCCACCTCGCCGCGGTCGCTCGACCCTGTCCCCCGGCTGACAGCCGAGGCCCCTGTCCACGCGGGGCTGGGGGGCGCCCGATCCCGAGCCGCCCCGCACCGAGGCCGGCGGCGCCAGCCAGCCCGGGCCCCTCACGGCCACCGCCTGCATCGCCCCCCTCTGGCAGCGCCGCACCGCCCTGGCGGGCGCGTCAGGGGCGGGCCCGGCGCCCTCCACAGCGGGCCTGCGCGCCCCTGTCCGCATCGCTCTGAAGCCCGCCCGTGACCGGCGCCCACCTGTCCAAGCTGTCTTCGGCTGGCTCCAAGCCGAAGGCCTCCCCGGCGTTCTCCTGCCGCCCTGACTCCGACGGCCCGGGCGCCCCCACCCTCGCCGCCCACGTGGCCAGCCGCCCCAGCACGCCGGGGGCTCGCCGCACCCGCGCGCGAACGCTCGCGAGGCCCCTCGCGAAACCTGCTCGCCTCGAGAGGAGGTCTCGCGAGGCGCGCCCAGGCAGACCCCCCTAGAGGCCAGCGCGGCCACGGCCCGCGAGCAGCAAGCGCCCGCGAAACATGCGACGAGCCCGCTGTCCCGATCGCACTACGATCAGACAGATAGGAGCACGCGCAGCCCCGACACCCTGCCCGCCCCCATAGGGCCCAACCCCCCACGAGGGCGCGCGCCCCGTCGAGCGCCCCCCCCCCGGGCCCGCGGCGGACGGGGAGGGCGCGCGAACGGGCGGGCGCCGCCGCCGCAGGCGGGCGCCCGCCAGCCCGCGAAGGCCCGGGGCTGCCCGCGCAGCAAGCGGCCGCGAAACACACCGCGCTGCAATCGAACAACAATGGACGAGGCGCAGTCTCGAAGCCCTGGCCGACTTCCATAATCAGGACCCCCCACCCCCCAAGGGCGCGCCCCGCTGTCGAGAGCGCCCCCCCGCCCCATGGACGGGCGGGCGCCTGCGCGCCAGGAGAGCGCCCACCAGTCGACGGGCGTTCCGGCAGCGCGCGGGCAGACACAAGCGGACGTCCAACACCATGGTCGCGCGACAATCTCGCAGCCTCGACCGAGCGACGACCAGAGAGAAGAACGGGGCCCACACGGCCCCGGAGCCCACGAGGCCCCCCCCCCCCGCGGAGGGCCCCCCCCCGCGCGCAGCGGGGGGGGGGCACGCGAACGGGCGGGCGCCGTTGGGGCGGGATGGCGCCCGCCGGTCGGCGGGGGCTCGGGACTGCCCCGCTGGCGCCCCAATGGGATTTCCGCCAGGCACGAAGGGCGCGCTGTCAGACGCGCGCGGCCCGCCTGCCCCCGAGCACGAGGCGATCGCTGCACTCGGTGCGCCACGGGCGGCCGTTTCACGCGCCGTCGAGGCCCGCGCCCCGCGTCGCGCGGAGCCCCGTGCTGAAGATGCAAGCGCTTTCGCAGCGCCGCCCGAGCCGCGCGGCCAGCTGGCGTCGCCGCCCAGTCGCCGCTCGGCGGCCCGCTGCCCCTGGCTGCCCGGCGGCCGTTTCTGACGCGCGAAGGCGGCGCTCCGCCCTGGCCTGCCGTCTTGGGCGCCGACGCCGCCGTCGCCCGGGGGCCTCGCCAGGCGTCGCCGACATTCTGGTCAGAGCTCCCTGTCGCGCTCGACCTGGCAGCATGCGCCCAACTTCTGGCGTTCGCGCGCTCGCCCCCGTAGCTGCGAGAGCTGCCCCTGCCCCTTGCCCGCCTCGCTGCCCGCGGGCTGCCCGCGGCGCCCGAGACATCGAAGAACGGGGGCAGACACTTGATCGCCCTGTCGCTCTCCGACTCGCTCGGCATGGCACAGTTCTCGGGCGGGCAGAAGGCGCGGCAGTTGCCCGCGAGCTCGCCCCCGGAGAGGCGCGAACCTCGCAATCGGAGCGAACCTGCAAACACCCGAGCACGTCTGCAGTGATTCTCTCCCCCGAGAACGCGGGCACGCGCTCGACGGGTTTCTCGCGGGCCCCCTCGTCGCTGGAGTCGATGGCGCCCACGACTGCGCCAGGCCCCATGTCCAACAGCCCGCCCAACTTGATGTCACATCCCCTCTCGCGGCGCTGATGACGGACACCAGGTCGGCGGCCCCCAGGGCCGTCAGGGCGCCCTCCTGCCCCGAGGTCCCGTCGCCGAAGTAGACCACCTCCGCGAGGTCCTCCAGGCTGCACTCCCGGGACTGCTCGATCTGCCCCACGCGCTTGACGCCGGCCATCTCCATGCCGCCCTTTGCGATGGCGGAGCGCGACGGGAAGATGATGGCGGGGTGTTCCCATTCGTCGTTGCCCGTCTCCGCCAATATGCGGCCGCGCCCCTTGCTCTCGCACCTGCCGTGGCCCCTGGCGGCTGCGACTCCTGGCTCGTTCAGCTGCGACGGCCCCGCGCAGCGCGCCCAGTCCTTCGGTTTGAGGGGGGCCGTCTTGCAGCGCGGGCACACGTACATGATGCGATTATCCCCACCAAGGCAACTGCGACGCGCGCTGCAGCCCCCAAACGCTCGTCGTTCAGGGTGGCCTCGTACATGCGCTTCAGTTGGACATTCGGCGACATTAGACCGCCCCTGTGATCCGCGAGGGCCGCTTCCATGGCGGACTCGATAGACTTGGTCTGTTGCGACGACGACTCTTTTTTTTGTTTGTGAATCATCTGCCCTTCAGGCATTCGGCCCCTGCCTGATCCACAAATTAGAACCGTTGCGCTGCTTGTTCCCGTGGTGTTTGAACACATGTCGTCGCACGGGCGCCAGGTGCCCAAGATTTTGCAAATGAGTCCTCCCGAACTCGCCGCCCACGGTCTTGGCAATGTGCTCGCGTGCGACGACCGAGCTGAAGATCTGGAAACATGGCGTCTCGACGAAAAATACAAAACCACGCTCTTCTTCATAGTAGTGACAATTTTAACGGGCTGGTCGCTACAACGTGGCCGCCCACGAACTTGCTCGCGCCGTCGGTTTCCCTGTGCACGGGCGTCATATTCATTTTGGCCGCGATCCCTGTGGTCACGCGTCCTACTCGGACATTTTCCAATCTTCCTCGCCCGACCTTGAACTCGGCGAGCCGGGAACCTGGCTAGCCTGGTGGCCTGGCTCCCGTCCAGGAGGGTCGTATGGAGCGCTGCCACACGCCCTCGGCTTTCCTCCGCGGTCCTCCGCTTCGGCCCCCTCTGTCTCCCTCCTGCGCGCTGGCAGGGCGGGCGCCAGGGAGGATGATCTCCTCGTTCCGCCGCGGCCCGGCGTCGAGGGCCAGCTGCAGCGCCCAACCTTCATTCAGAAACGGTCGAACGCTTGAGCCCAAATGGCCACAGACGTCACGCAAACAAGAAGATACACACTCGTGTTGGCGCGCGGCGGCGTATCCTCGATGAGCCCCAATGGCAGTGCGATAGCGGTACAAGGGGACCAGTGAGGTGACGGTGATTTCCTTTTAATGGTGTTTGGCGGTGCCAGGGGCCCTCTGCGTTGGGCGCCTGCCACTCCCAGGAACTTGATGTTCCCTTCTTGCGATGGGAGTGAATCACCAATAATACCGAGGGGGTAGATAGGAGCCTGAAGGTGAGAAAGGGATGCCTGGGACCCCCGCTCCGGACAGTGCTAGCGTCGGGGCGGCCCAATCCGGTGGAGGGGCGGGGGGGGAGGTGCTGGCCGATTACCTAACCTTTTCGCTTTGGGCAGCACCACGTATGTCCGCGCGCATCGACACTGCACGCCCATCTCGGACCCAGTGTGTCGCTGGACCATGAAAGAAA